ATTTAAAAAAAGCATTTTTTTAAATCAGGCAACGAAGTATGTAAATCGTATTCCTAGTGTAGTAATGTAGGTAATCTGATAATTATTAATATTGTATATAATAAGGTAGGACCTGTGTACCACATTCATTCGCAATATACAAGCCACCGTGAATACTTGTTTTAATCAACTATATCCCAAATAGTTTATTGGCGACGAGGATAAAAGTGGAAAATGTCATTCGGAAAGGTCACTGACTTCAACATCAATTCCGGGAATTGGACGTTATATGTGGAGAGACTGGAAATGTATTTTAAAGTCAATAGGGTAGAAAATAATTTATGGCTGCCAACTTTAATCACAGCGATCGGAGATGAGAGCTACGAACTGTTGAGTAGTTTGGCGAGCCCTAAGAAACCAGCGGAGTTGACATACGAGGCGGCGGTCACCTTAATGCGGCAGCATCTCCAAACTCAACCCTCGATAATGGCGGAACGGTACCGGTTTCGGCAAAGAAGGCAGCGGAGTGATGAAACAGTAGCGCAATACGTCACTGAGCTAAAAAAGTTATCAAGAAATTGTGACTTCGGCAGTGTATTAGAGACAATCTGCGTGATCAGCTGGTTTGTGGGCTTCGAAGTGACGTCATACGGCAACGGTTATTCGCGGAAGACAGTTTGAAATATAACGGCGCGATAAAGTTGGCGGTTGCACTGGAAGCAGCGGAACGGGATGCGGCAACAGTGGAGGGTTCCACAGCGGCAGCTAACGAGGTATCTTCGGGACTGCACACAGTAGCGGCGAGAAATGACCGGGCGGAACGCCCGCGTTGGCGGACTTCAAACGGGCAAGCGGGGGTCAGGCGTTGTACGGCGTGTGGAGTGAACGGACATAATAACGAGGCGTGTCGTTACCAAAAATTTGTGTGCAGCAAATGCAAGAAGATGGGACATCTGCGTCGGGTCTGTCCACGAGTGGTGAAGAAGGGGGAAAGAGAAAGAAGGCGAATGAATTTGATGGAAGCCTCTAGAGGGACAGACGAAGATGAAGACTCGAATCCCGAAGAAATTGAGGAACAGTTACACCAACTGAGCTTAAATAGTTATAAGCCGGTAAGCTTAAAAATTCTTATCGATGATAGGTGGGTTAACATGGAGGTAGATACCGGTTCAGCAGTGTCATGTATTAGCAAAAAGACTTATGAGAGATATTTAAAATCTAGATTGTTGGAAATAACAATATAATTTTTAAATTTTATAATGGTAGCTGTGTAAAACCGTTAGGAGTTATCAAACCAACTGTTTGTTATAATGGGAAATGTAAGAATTTGGAATTGTTTATTATTGATGGAGGGACTACTTCGTTGTTAGGTAGACAATGGTTATCTGAGTTAGGTATAGAAATTCCACAGTTTCGTAATTATAGTAAAATAAACAAGTTGAATAAGGGAGGGTATAAAGAAGTTACTCAACCTTATATTGATGATGTAAAAATGTTAATTGACAGGCATAAGGAGTTGTTCAGTGGTGGACCGGGGCGTTTTAACCGGAGGCCGGGCGCAGTTGCGATTGAAGGAGGGGGCCATGCCGGTATTTTGTCGTGCGCGGCCCTTGCCCTATGCATTGAAGCCTCAGGTAGATGCGGAGTTGGATTCTATGTTGCGGGATGGTGTGATTGAACCGGTAGATACATCAGAGTGGGCAACCCCGTTGGTACCGGTACGTAAAGCGGACGGAGGGTTGCGCATTTGTGCTGATTATAAAATTACGTTGAATCCTGTCTTACTGGTCGATAGGTATCCGTTACCGAGAATAGACGATTTACTAGTTAATTTGAACGGGGCACAACTATTTTCGAAAATTGATTTATCTCAGGCCTACAACCAGATTGAACTCGATGAGTCCAAGGAATACACGGTAATCAACACACATAGAGGTCTATTTAAATATAATAGATTAGTATTTGGTCTCGCTTCAAGTCCAGGTATATTCCAACGTATTATGTCGAATCTTTTCAAGGACATTCCGGGGTAGAAGTATTTCTCGATGACGTTATCGTAGGTACTAAGGGAGGACGGTCAGAGCATTTAATTATTCTCGAAAAAGTACTAAATAGATTGGAAAGTCAGGGCATGAAGTTAAAGAAAAATAAATGTTCATTTTTAGTGGACGAAGTTAAATATTTGGGATACTTAATTTCAAAAGACGGAATTAAAGTGGATAAGGACAAAGTAGCAGCTATTCTGACATTCCAAGGCCCGTGGAGGTATCACAGTTAAGGTCGTTTCTCGGTTTGGTAAATTTTTATGCAAAGTTTGTTAAAAATATAAGTTTTATACTGTCTCCTTTGTATGAGTTACTTAAAAAGAATAAAGTTTGGAACTGGACCCGGGAATGCGAACAGGCTTTTCGTAGTATTAAAAGGTTTTAACTAGCGCAAAGGTGTTGTCTCATTATGATGTTAGCAAACCGGTTACGTTGACGTGCGACGCGAGTGCGAAAGGCATAGGCGGCGTGTGGACACAGTGCACGGAAACGGGCGATGAGGAGCGGCCGGTTGTGTATGTATCGCGCGCGCTCACAGATGCGGAAAAACATTATTCTCAAATTGATCGCGAAGCGCTCGCTATAGTTTTCTGCTTGCAAAAGTTACATCAATATTTATATGGTAGACGTTTTACGCTCAGGACGGACCATAACCGTTAGTGAGCATTTTTGGACCCAAGTATGGCATTCCGGCGATGGCCGCGAGTCGTATGCAGCGTTGGGCAATTATACTATCGGCATATACCTATGATATCGAGTACATAAATACTAAGGAGAATGGCGCGGATGGTTTATCGCGGCTACCGGTGGCGAGTGGAGGGACGGGGGACTCATCGTCACTCGACCTGCCCGAACAGACTTATTTACATTTCGCGCAGAACGCATTATTATTAAATTATAATAAGGTTAAACATCAAACTTCTCGAGACCCATTATTAGGAAGAGTTTTACTATACATTAGGGATGGATGGCCGGATCATAATGACATTAGGGAATTACAACCTTATTTTAACCGGAAAAAGAGTTATATGAAGAATTAGGGTGCATAATGTGGGGGCATAGGGTTGTTATTCCGGAACAATGTAGAACTCGAGTGCTAGATGATTTACATGAATCTCATATGGGTATAGTAAAACAAAAGCAATCGCCCGGAGCTATGTGTGGTGGGCCGGCATAGACGAAGATGTGGAAAAATTGTGTCGTAGTTGTGAAGTGTGTGCGGCGGAGGCAGACGCTCCGGAGCGCCACGCTGTGGTTCCGTGGCCGTGGCCGAACCGCCCATGGTCCCGAGTTCATTTAGATTTTTTGGGGCCCTTTTATGATACAATTTATCTAGTAATTATTGATGCTAGAACCAAATGGATTGAGGTTTATCCGGTACCCAGTACTGCGGCTCGATATACGATAAACAAATTACAAGAAATATTTGCAAGATGGGGATTACCGCGACAATTAGTATCAGATAACCGTCCACCATTTTCAAGTAGCGACTTTTAGAGTTTACTTCAAGTTTAGGTATCGAACATTTGTTTTCAGCTCCTTATCACCCGGCTTCTAACGGAGCTGCAGAAAATGCGGTTCGTACAATAAAACGAGTGATTCGTAAGGCCATTAGGAAAAAGGAAGATGTACAAAAATTTTTAAATACTTTTTTATTGCATTATCGAAACACAGAACATTGCACTACAGGCGAAAGTCCAGCCAGCCTTATGTTAGGTAGAAGCTTAAGAACCAAATTAGATTTATTAAGGCCAGACCGTCAGAGACAGTAGAGGTAGCTCAGTATCGACAGAGGAAGTTAGGCACTGAAGGGGATCGTTGCTTGCAACCTGGGGAAGAAGTATGGATACGTCAATATCAAGGGGGTACTAAGTGGACACCAGGGTTGGTAGTGGAAAAGTTAGGGTCTACTGACTATAAAACTCTTGACAAAGCTGGAAAGACAACGCATAGGCATATTGACCAGTTAAGACGGCGTTCAGTACGTGGTTCTTTAATAACACCGTCATCTCCCGGAGAAGACGTTTTGCCAACTTCTAACGACGTTCAGGTGGAACAACCAAAAGATGAAGGAGTCACACTGGTAGGGGGTAATGAATCCAACTCTGATCTACTAGTGGAGGGTGAACCAGAGCAGTCTCCTCCACAGACTATGGTCACTGGGGAGACTGAACAAAGGATGGAGACCTCAAGTCCACCTTTCACAGCAGTCGCAACTGCTTCGCCCTGCTTAAGCCCTCAACCTCCACAAAAGTTAATACGTAAATGTCGTTTGAATAATCCTCCTCGTTATAAGTAAATGTTTAACGCTTTATCTATTATTGTTATTTGTATAATTTGTTATTTTTGGTTTTATCAGAACATGTTCTTATTATTGGTATAAGCTGTAAAACTATATTGTTTGCAACAGATGGATCTATGTGTTTAGAGGGGAGGATTGTAGTAATGTAGGTAATCTGATAATTATTAATATTGTATATAATAAGGTAGGACCTGTGTACCACATTCATTCGCAATATACAAGCCACCGTGAATACTTGTTTTAATCAACTATATCCCAAATAGTTTACCTAGTATTCACCTTGTTACCCTTTTCGAAGTTATTAAACAGTACACTTTATTCTTAGCTATATGCAAAGAGTAGTGATGCGACTGAGAGTAGGATTTTGTGACTTGAGTCACTCGAGCTAATAATCTACTCAAGTTTTCGAGAGAGTCGAGTAAAACAAAATTCAATCTCGAATGAGATCTCTAATAGTTACTTTAACAAATACATACATAATATAAATAAAAGACACAGCAAGAGTTTTGACATATCATTTATATAGTTAATCCAGATAATAAAAAATAAGTAAACTTGTTGGTTACCGAGTTTACGCGATAACACGAGTAATATATTTCGCTAGATTGGTGTTTGAAAAATTCACTCGAGTGACTCGAGTAAAAACAGGACTCGAGTCGCATCGCTAGCTACTGGAAAAAAGATATATATAATTATTGTTTATATTTTCTTTATTAGCTCTTGTAGAGCTTCTACACTTTATGTTTATATCAAGTTACTTTACGGACGATGAATGATATTAATTTGGTTGTAATGAAATCTGTTCTGAAGTATTTGATTGGAGAAAATGAATTAATGTGTAGGTTATGTTTAACTTCCATTAACAACCAAAATGTTTCTATTTATGATTCGGTGGAAATAAGCAGACCGTATATTCAGGAAATTGTAACATATAATGAAATGTTCGAAGATCTCGAAGTAAGTTTCATGAATAACTAAACAACCAAAAGCTTCATATTTAGCTTTTATTTATTTAATAACAATTAAGAGTCAAATAGATAATACATACTCATTTATATATAAATATACCTTTCAGTTACATAGAAATCCTTTTATATGTTTATTATTGTTTCAGGTTTGTCAGGAACCTTTTCTGCCTCAACAACTCTGTAAAAATTGTGCTACAACCATATTCAATACATATATATTCAGAAGACTTATTTCTTATTATCATGAAAAATGGTCAGAAATAATTACTTCGGTTGAAAAAACAATGGACCTAACTAAAACAATGTCTGATAGTGTAAGAACCATTTACTTTTTAATCAATGAGAAACAAAATCTTATGCTCACCAGTCGTACTTACACTAAAGGCAAGAGAAATGTCTCAAATAAATTGAAAGAGCTTATGGCATATAGGAAAAGATATGTAAAAGTAAAAAAGATGCCTTCACACATAGTGTGTCATGAATGCAGAATGACTTTCAAATCGAAAATTTCTCTTTCAAAACACTTTGACAAACACCACAATAAAATGAAATATCCATGCTCTCATTGCCCTAAAGTTGCTAAATCAAAGACACAATTAGAAGGGCATATTATAAGAATGCATCATCCAAAGAAGTTTAAATGTCCCAAATGTGACAAAATGTTTAGTAATATCAAACTATTGAATTACCATGACAAGAACTATCACAGTGCTGTAATATGTAAACTCTGCTTCATACAATTTCCATCTAGAATAGAATTGAGATCACATATGGACAAGCATGAAGCTTTAAACTGTGAAAAATGTTATAAAACATTTCATAGTCGACAGACACTCAAAGCTCATGAGAAAATATGTGGCAACTTGCAACATAAACAATCTAAATTTTTTTGTGACTTATGCAACAAAGGTTATGTCCATAAAGCAGGTATACGTAGTCATCTGAAGATTGATCATGGTTTTGGTGTCAATATGTATCATTGTAAGTGGTGTAATAAAAAGTTTGATGCTGCAAGTAAATTGAAAATGCATGTAGTTGTTCACACCAGGGAAAGAAATTTTCACTGTGGACATTGTGGTAATAAGTTCGTAACACAAGCTGCTCTAACATACCATGTTAGACTACACACTGGAGAAAGACCTTTTCACTGTGATATCTGTGGTGAACAATTTGTTTCAGCTTCAAGAAGAATGGAACACATGCACAGAAAACATATTGGTCCCACCAAACAGTGTCCAATATGTCATATGAAATTTATACTGAATAACCAGCTCAATAGACATGTGAGGAAGCATTTTAACCCTCAGAGCAAACTTTTTATGAATAATAAATAAAAAACATGAATATCTATTCAACATATTGTAATAGTGTATAATTAAGCATTGTTAATAACAAGTATACCAAATAATGGTTGAATGCTCGATTCTCTTATTTAAATAATTATGTCTTCTGCCAATTTTCAAGCAGTCAGTTACACAGATATGGATCAAAATGCACATGATAAATCACACAGAGAGTTAATTTCTTTAATTTTTTTTGTCTTGCCATATTTGTATATTCATATTTAACATTAATGTTGTAATTTTTATAAATAATCATAATATAGTAATACATAATTTTTATAAATTTCAACATATTGGATTTCATTTACTGATTAGTTTATATCAAAATGGTAAGTTTTAAAAATAAAATGTGCCCTAACTGGTATTTATATGATTATTTCTGATTTTAGTTTTGTAGTTCTCTTCTCCTGGCATGTCAGGAGTCTTTGACACATACAACTTACTGGTTGGATCACGATGTCTGTTCATGTGTTGCTTTAAGAAATTTGTTGTCACAAACTTCTGTGAACAAATCTCACACATCAATGTGGGGCCGACATGTTTGTATTTGATGTGCTCTGCTCTTGCTGAAGCATTAACAAATTTTTCATTGCACTGTTTGCAGGAATAGGGCTTTTCTCCCGTATGCCTTCGAGTGTGATACAACAAAGCTTCTTTAGATACAAATCTGTTCCCACAAATTTCACATTTAAAATTCTTCTCTCCAGTATGCTTAATCATATGAGTCTTTAAGTAACTAGGGGCAGTAAATTCTTTACCACATAGCTTACAAACATGGGGCTTTGCATTACCATGAGCAAACCTATTATGCACTCTCAAACCTCCATAGGAGCTATATCCTTTACCACATATCTTACAAAATAAGGTTTTCACAATTTCAGTTCTCATTGGATGTGGATCTATGCGATCTTCAAAACAAAGCTTCACATGCCTCTGAAAGAATTCTTTAGTACAATATACTTTTCCACATTTGGGACATTGGTTTTTCTTGTGTGTGTTGTGTTTTTGTTCATGCAACTGCAACTTTTCGCTACCTTGACATGAAATGCCACATTGTTTACATACATACAGTGTATGACAGAGATCTATATGGTCCTCTAGCTGTTCTTGAGTATCTCTTCTGATTTTGCAATGATCACATTCATATTTGTGAGTATTGTTTAAATGGTACAATAGATCGTCATTACTATTGTAAACATCATGACATATATCACAAGTCAAATACCCATGAGTTGAGAGATTGTGAGCTTTCAATTCATCAAACTCATCAAAATCTTCATTACACGCAAAGCATTCAAACTGACATTTGACCTTTTTGGATTTTGATTTTACCTTTTCATTTGTTGCATTTCCAACTAAAATAATTTTAGAATCATTTTCTTCAACAACTATATATAAGGATTGTTCCTGGCCAGATAAATTGATATCCACATTCAGAGTTTCTTCTAAGTTATGGAGAATTGAACAGAGTTTATTATTGGCAGATTTGCATTTTTCTAAAAATCTTGCCGTCTCTAAAGCTTTGTCAACACAATCGGGGCAAATGGCATCAATACCTGGAATTTCTTCACATATCTGTAAAAATATAATAATTGGGTATCAAATGTTGAAAATATCTTAATTTTAACAGGTTCTTCGAAAGGCCAACTATGACTTACCAGATGTTCACCAAAAAGGTCTGTTATGATATCAGAAAGGGGTCTAAAATCTGCTATAGCCGTATCTAAAGTTACTAAATCATGAAATCGTACGAAATGTTTATCCAGATATTTCAAACATAATCTGCAGTGGCTAAAATGTTTTGCATTCACTACATTTGAAACAAGGGATTGTAAACTCGAATCAATTTCTTCCGTCATAATTCAAGTTAAATCTGTATGTGTAAGGAAGGATCTAACTTAATTTGTTATTGATACACAAAAACAAACTGAAAAACGCGCGGTTTTTAGATGAACCAGTTTGTGTTTACAATTTTATATTTTCGTTCAAGAACGGTAACAAAATAATTTCATCAAGCAAAGCAAAATTGACGCACGTCAAGAACGTCGTTGTCTATTGTTCTGTGCTATTAAGTGACTAAGACCCATCCACATACATCCACATAAAACCATAGACAAGTTTGAATAAAGCACAAAACCATGGATTATGGACGAAACGTAATAAACACTGACAGACGCTGAGCGATCTACTAACTTCGATCAATAATACAACGAGATGTCTGGAGTCTCAAAAATGGTCGAAGATATAACGCCTCACTTCAAAGTGCGATCTTATTTCCTGTTACTTTGACGGCACAGTGCTTATTAAAACTGCAAATATAACTATCGGAATAAAAATGTATCAGTTAGAGTTTTAGACTATGAAGCAAACTGTAGATCTTTGATAGGTTCACTTTTATATGTAACTTTTAATTTATACTCTGTTAACTATTTGAGTAGGTACCAATCAAAACCCAATGTAACTTTGTGGAAATCATTAAAACGTGTACTTAGACATGTAAAGAAAAATTTGAACTATAATTTAGTCTTTTGACAGAATAGTGACATTCCTTTTTTAGGATTCTCAGATGCTGATTGGGGTAGAGATGTCGATAGGAAATCTACAACTGGTTCCAAGTTTATGGAAATACTATTGTTTGGATCTAAAAAGCCTTAAGTACTACTGAAGCAGAATTGATTTCTCTTTGTGATGCTTGTCATTTTCGATTGTAAAATTACTTAAACATTTAGACATTTATGAAGATAATCAAATTACAATTAATTCAGTACAAACATGTAAAAATCAGAAAAAAAAACCCTGGTTGGCTGTATCATTGATACAGCCATATTTTATGCGTGGATACGTCTATGTATGAATGGATATATGAGTAATTGATAAAAATTCACCAGTTCCAGATACACTAAGATGGGATTCGATAAAATTCGGTTGAAAAAGATTTTTATGATTTTCGATACCATTTACTTTTGCAGTGCGTTTTTGCTTTTATTTAAAGATTAGCAAATTCACTCAAGAATATTTTACATTTTATTGCTAACGCATATAAAGCTATATATACGTGTTCGTAGATGGATGTGTACATATGCATACGTATGGCATAAAGCTAATTTTTTTTATTTATTGTATTATATTTATTAGATTGTATATTATAATGATACCTTTTGAATAATTTTTCCAGATTTGTCAATTATATATGCCGTAAAATCTGCTTCTTTAAAATGTTTTTCACAAACATAAAAATTTTCACCAACATCCAGGTTAGGAAACACATCACGAATAGCTTTTAACTACTCTTCACGTCTATCAATGTTCTTTGGCACTCTAAAAACTGAACGATTCGCTTCTCCAAAATAACCCGGAATTATGCAACGTTGTGGCATAATTGCATTTATAAATAAATAATTTAAAAAAAAATAAACAAATTGAAGACACTAAACACTAAATAAATAAATATTCGTTGCGTTCATTTGTTGAATGAAAAAAGTATTCACTAGCGCCAACAGATGGCGTTAGTGCATATACTCCTGCTGACGAAATGCCCCTCCCCCTGCAGAGCAAGCATAGTTCACTTATACGCCAATAGATGGCGTTAGTGCATATACTCCTGCTCACAGAATGACCCCTTGTAGAACGAAAACATAGACGTATCCACGTCAATAAGCATTTAGATATTAAATATAACTTTGTAAAACAGAGAGTAGAACAGGGATTTGTGACAGTTAAATACTGAGCGAGCAAGAAAACGTAACTTATGCGACTTGCTTACTCTTATGAAATCGGAGATCGAGTGGAATCACTTTGGGGATACCCTTGATTATCTGACCATGGCCTGTTGGGATTCCCTTTTTTACTACTTTCATAGAAAGGTGATTGTTTTATTTTAATTTCATTCTATTCTTTTTATTCCATGATTCATCATAGGTAGAATCAGTTGGCTGTTCTTATAGTTTGTTTCATTTGGGTTTGACTAAGTAAAGGAAAATATTCAATTAATCGCAAAGGGTAAATATGGATAAGTTCAAAGGTTGGTTAAAACCAGCAAGTAAAGACAGTCAGCAAAAGCGGCCAAAGCTGTCACAACTACGTTCTTCCTTCCTACGTTCTTGTTTTTTTACAGTATCCATTTTGTCAAGTATGGACTTATTCATACTTGACAAAATGACAAAATGGATACTGTAGAAAAATATACTAAATCAGTTAGAGCTAATTCAGCTGCCTCAGATTTATCATAACTTTCCCAGAGTTCACAACCTTCTACATCTTCCTCTAGTATTTAATTGAGTATTGTGAGTCTTTTTGAAATAGACAATTGAGTAGTTATATAATATAAATATAGTATTAAGTACCTACTATTATAAAAATAACACTGCTTTTAGAAATACTATAAATATATAAATAATCGTATTATAATATTATAAATGTGAAAGTTTCTTTGTTTGGATGTTTAGATGTTTGGTTGTTTGTCCGTCAATCACGCCGAAACTATTGAACGGATTTTGATGAAATTTGGTATACAGATAGGGTATTAGCTGACTTAGATAATAGGACTTTTTATCCCACTAAACATTTCCCTAGGGTCCACGCGGGCGAAGCCGCTGGCGAAAGCTAGCATAAATTTAAATTTGTGTTTTATTTTGTTATTTGCATTTTAAATGCTTATTGCATTTAAAATGCAAATTCTTGCATTTAAAATGCTATTAAAGTCTTTAATAACATATCACCGTGTGATTTCTAGTAATCATGTGAAATGGTATTTAAATTCAAGGAAAAATTTAGCTATTTCTACGTACATTTCAAGTCGAACAAATTACTCATTCCAGCTACTTGTAAAATTCCTAGCAACAGGCCTTCGGTAGCAGTAAGCAACACTGCTACAAACATCTGTCAAAGCAGGTGGGTGGGTGATTAGGGATGTTCCGATACCATCAAGGTATCGATACCTAATCATATCAGTAGTACTCAAATAGTCTTTCGATACTACTCATATAAATACTCCTAATGTATCGATACTTATAGATAATTTTTTTTATGAAATGACGGACAATAATTTTTATGAGGGCAAAAAATAAATTATGTAATAAGGTATTTATTTTTTATTAAATATAATGAGGAAGTATTTAAAAAAACATAATCCAGTTTTCTTTCATGTCTAAAAGTAAATTCGTTTTTAAAACTCGATAAACAACTCATATTCTATTTGTACTTTTTCGTATTTGTATTGATATCTAAGTTTCGAACTTCTCAAATTTCAGTTTTATAATATGTTAGTCAAAAGAAACGAACATGACTGTCTTTGGTCCATTCGTTTCCTGCAAAAATCAACTTTTGCTAGAGTTGCCATCTTTTTGGTGCTTTCTTTTTATTTTTAAATACTTCCTCATTAAGAACAGCTGGTATCTGGCTGAATGCAAATTAACAAGACATAAACTGGCGGCACGGCACAGCACGTCACACACACAAACACAGTTACATGCCATGCATTGAATGGCGCGCGCGCTTTTACCGACAACCGAGCGAGCGAGAGAAATAAGCTGTCGCTCTCTCGGACTATCAGATGCCTTCATTTTACATAAAATATCGCACGCACAGAACAATACTGTATTATGTCGATACTGTATTAGTCGGATAATAGTGCAGTGTCGATATGGGTAGGTCTTATTCGATTCGATACCTACCAAGTACTTTTGTTTCGTTAACAAATATGTATCGCAAGATTGATTCGATGCTATTAATACTGGGTATCGAATAAAAAGTATCAAGTACATACTCGTATTTACTAGTATCGGAAGATCCCTATGGGTAATTCCACGGTGATTATTATAAAGCACTCTTTGCATGGGTGGTAGCATTACTCTTTGGGTGGTTGTTGTTATAAAAATAATCTCAATTTAAACTGGATTGTGCAGTGTTTCATTAAAAACGGGCAGAGTGAGAGAGTAAATTAGTAACTCTTCATCTCTGTCTTAGTAGTTTTGTAGGATGTCCACGCGTTTTTAATAATTTCATAAATAGGTAATATTTAATAATGTTTACATGACCAAATTTAAACATTTACAGATATAATTTTATAAATTTTTACAGATATTATGAATGATGATGTTAGAAATTTAACCGATAAATTAGTTTTTATTTATCGGTAAAGATATTTATTTTGTAGGAAATAAAACAAGTACATAAATGTTATTATAATCATCTATAATGTATAAATCAATTAAAAGGATAGAAATGTTTTTTTTCCTATTAATTGTATTAGAATACAACGGATCACTTTGCCTGGTATTATTGTCCTCCATTTTTCAGCTAGACTTTTATCCTTTAGGATCCTAGAAACATAAGAGCAATTTTGTCATGGTCAGCATAAGAAAATTATTACTTTATAAATATTTATCCAAACTAATGTGTAGGCCATTCCGATATTTTCCAAAACATAATTAAGCTAGTTCTCGTTTTTCATTTTCCAAATAACTTTGTACCTACCGTGAAAATATTGATAACGAAGAATGGCGGGTAGCGTAAGTAAAACTTATAAATGTTTATAATATAAACGTATGAATATTAATTTAAATCAAAGCCTCTTTGATATGGTTTTGTTTCTTGATCGTAGACACCCTATTTCATCACTGTTTAATAAATAAGGAAAACAGCTTACCTGTGGAATGTGAAGTCACATTCGTGATACCATTCATTTTTGCAATCAGCCAAGCAAAACAATATACCATTTTGATGTAAATAATCGAATTAGTAAGTCAAAACACAAATAAACATTAAACTTTAACATTGTTTATGTTGTCACATCGAGCGGCCATATTAATTTATAATATTGCTACTTAGATGTAACGAAAAACTACTAACACGACATCGGTTTACATTATAATTTTAATTAATTCACACTTTTACTTAAAAAACATATCAACTATGTCTATTCAATATATTTACTAATAGATAATAATTAAAATTACCTAGCTGATGTCTTTAAAAAATCAATAAAATCTCCTAATTGCCAATAACAATTATTTAATTTTCCAATGGCAACTCGTTAGACAAGGACCTACTACTACAAATCTAATATCTCTAGTAGACCGTTTTTCTACTCTGAAATGTGACATAGAAAAATAAACCTTATTTTATATTAGATAAAGTGTAAGTTTGATTTTAAGAAATATATCAGTACGCAATCCAGTTTAAGTTGCTCAATAAGTTTGAACTTCACTTAAATAACGCAATGAATACACATATTTACAATAAAAAAGTATTTGAAATATTAACAAGTAACAATGCCTTTTGTAATTTTTGTTTAAAGAACATTGAAAATGAAAATGAAAATTCCTATTATTTTGAAGATGAAGTTGTTTTGGATAACAATGACAAATGTATAAAGTTAACGGATTTGGTATGTTATGTTTTTGGTGTCAAAGTAAGTAAATAAAAATAATGATAAAGTTCACAGATTTTTATGAATTTTCAATAAAGTGGCTACATATTGATCTACATATATAGAAAAGCTATTGTATTTAACTATACTCTACTTTCAGGCTGCAAGTTTTCGTGCTTCTGGCATTTTATGTCGGCAGTGTACGAATTCCACTATTGTCATGTATCAATTTATAAAAATGTGTAATTATAACATAGAACAACTGTGGAATGCTGTAGCAATCCTGGAGAACAGACTCAACAGTATTTTAAAATTGGAAAGTGATAAGAAAACTTTATTTATTACAGTGGATAGTTCAAAAAGTTTGACTCCACTAATTTATGATAATAAACCTGCTGCTGGAAATTACTCTATGATTCTAGAAAGGTTTCAACAAATTAGTAACATTGATAAATATAATTTGAAATGTATGTATGAATTATCTAATGATTTGGACCATTGTGAAGTTAATCACAGTATAGAAGTTAATGAGAAAGCGAATATTAAATTTAAACAAAACAAGAAAAAAAATAAAGCTAAAAAAATATCAATAAATGAAATAATCTTTGACACAAACAAAATGTCACAGTATAAATGCAAAATTTGTTTCAACATTTATTCCAATTTGTACAGACTGAAACAGCATTTTCTCAGAATGCATGCTCCTAAAGACTTTGTTTGCTCTGAATGCTGTAAAAGTTATGGTTCTGAAGCCTTATTGGCACAACACAAATATGACTGCCACAGCCCCTTTATGTGTTCCGACTGTGGTAAAAGTTATACTAGTAGATCAACATTCAAAACACATATGCAAAGCCACCGATTAAAATTAATTTGCCAAGTATGTGGTAAAGTATTCAAAAATAAGCGAAATTTCAGCAAGCACATTATAATGAATATTTGTGATCCAGTTATAAGGAAAATGAATTTAGATAAAAAATATGTGTGTGATTATTGTAGAAAAGGGTACAGCAGTAAGTCAACTTTAAGAACTCACATAAAATTTGCTCACGGTGATGGGGAAGCACAAGTCTGCTCTTGGTGTAATAAAAGGTTTCATGCTGTTAGTAGGTTGACTGCTCATATTGTTACCCATACGCAAGAGAAAAAGTTCAGTTGTGATGTTTGTGGAGGACGATTCGTAACAAAGGAGTCTCTGCTTTACCATACCCGCATCCATACTGGAGAAAGGCCCTATAAGTGCCAATATTGCGATAAAAGGTTTTTATCAACATCTCGAAGAGCAGAACATATAAGACGACATCACAGTGATCCAATGTTAGAATGCAATATATGCCACAGTAAGTTCCGATCAAAGTCATGTTTGACAAGGCATAAGAAACGTCATTTTAATCCCAATAGTAGATTACATTATGCTCGACTAGTGTCAAATGGGAAAGAAATTTAAAACATGTATATTCAAGTACATCAACCTATTAAACTTGTATCTTGGTATGGTATAGCGAGCTTTTGGAATGATAAAATAAATTCAAAGTAATACAGCTTTAAATGTTTAATTTCATTTTATTCAGTAGTACCAATTATCTTATCAACACCCAATAATCTCTTGTTTGCCACCATTTTGCTTATAAAATTCTTGAAAATATCACCGGCCCTTGATACGACTTCTATAATTCCAAGAGGATATTGTTCTATTGAACCTAAAGAGAAACAGGAGTTTAAAAACAATAGATTTTGTTAGTACGCGACATCATCTGTCGAGGGTGCAAACTTATGATGTGACGCGACGCATCTTCAGCCATATATTCACCAAGGATCGGTATTTATCAAAGAAGACATTATTTCGTCTTGAAGTAGTGAAACGGAAATGTGAACATATTTTTTGCACTATTCGTTACAGACCTATATAACAAATAGATTTGCTAATAATAACCTGATGATGCGTATGGTGCACTCGATCTTGTATTACGTGTTGATTTTTTGCAATCGCTTTGATAAACTGAAACCTGAAGACAGAAAACATCGTACAGGATTTTTAATAATTTAGAGCGAAACTGGAGTACTCGGGTAGCAAATTTAATATGACCATTGCTCTTGGCTATAAATATAAAGCTGTTAACTGTTTTTAAAATGTTTTTTACAACTAGTGTTAAACGAAAAATATTTTTTCATTAATGACTTATATGCGCGTTTCGCTCAATTATGCCATTACACGGTATCACGTGGAAAGCTATTGTGGTCATTTATAAAAAAAAGGTTTTTCTTGAAAAAGACATTTTAAAAATATATCACTTTATATGACAATTTAACGATCGTGAAACAAAACAAGACATTTACGACATGCACACTGATCGACTGATCCTTCATCAATACCGCATTCACAAAGGGAATTCTCCTTAACTTTAATTTTGGCTAAGTGGACAGAGACTCGGTGTCCAAGTCGAAGGCGACCCAAAATCGAAACCACTTCTTTGGAACATATTTCCGAAAAGGAATTATTGGTTGGATATCGTAGTTATGTTTACCGGTTTTAATTCGCTTTTTATGCCACTGTGGCCTGGGATCCAAGCCAACACCAGTTCTAAGTTTTTATTTTTACATCTGTATAACGCTTCTCTGATTTTAAGTATAATAGGAAAGTGAGATTTAGTCCTGAATGGGTTGCAAAAGATTGATTGAAGACAACTCAGTGATCCGATTCACAATCTAAGATTGTTTCTAGAATAGCGATTGCTTCCCCTGTTATAACCGATGAGGGTGAAGGAACTTTTAAACTTAATACTACTCTAAACTATTCACCATCCATCCATCCACACCATCCACACTGCAGCATTAACACCACTAGTGTTTGACAGTTTTGAGGCACCCGTAAACATTAGAAGCCAATGAGGCCAGTTTTGTAATTGCTAAATGCAAATCTTGGTTTGCACTGGAATAATGTTTTTCATTGCCCAAATTAAGTACAATGTCCAGGTTAAAAAGCAACGATTCAAAGCTTTTTAGGAAAAGGGGGACTTTCTCGATCATTATAGAAGGGCGTCAAAACTTTGAGTATCTCGTTAAAATAAAGGGAATTGTTTGATGTGAATTGGGACCTATGTCAGTAGCATCGACAAGTTTGTGTAGAATAGCTAGCAACGGGTGACATTCATTTCGTAAGATTTTGAGGAAAAATCTGTTACTGAGATATTGCCTGCGAAGAAAAGGAGGAGGTTCAGCAGCTACTATTTGGAGGGTATTAATGGGGGAGGACTTCATAGCCCCTAGAATAGTATGCAGAGAGTTTGATTGAATTTTGTCTAATGCAGGAAGGTTTGGTCGAGAAGGAAGGAACAATAGTCAAAGTGACTGCACACTATGGCGTTATATAGAAGTTTTTGGGTATCTTGGTGTGCCAAACACCAGACAGCGCACGTAGAATATTGACACTTTTTCTGCCTTGTTGGCAACATTATGGCAACAAAATCATACCTAGGAATTTAACAGAGTCTTATTTCTTTGGCAGAAACTTTAAATAATATTGTTTTGTTGTATCCGAGACTCTTATCAGAAAGGTGTATGGAATGCCATTCCAGCCTGTAGAAGTGTCCCATGAACCAGAAAGAGCTTTTTGGAGTTCTTCAATTGAAATAGGTCGATCTAGATAGAGGGATAATTAACTGTCAGATTAACACGGTTGTGGGCTTTACGGAATCTTTTCAATTGCTCCCATATTATTGCTGGGGTTTACCAGGAGCCAACGTTTCACAAAAGTTATTCGAACCAATTCTTTTTTGCCTACGATCATTGTTAACCCAGAGGTCTCTATCGACGATAAAATCTAGAAGTTGGTAACCAAATGAGTCATTAGTGTATAAACCCCATGAAACATGGTGTGAGTTAAAATCCCCCATATTACTAAGGGAGGAGGAAGAGACAATAAAATGGAGTTTAATTCTTGTATAACTAAAACCATGCGGTGATTGCGGGTATATAATCAATCATCAGTGACAGGTAAGATATGTTTGAAATTCTTACAGCAACTGCTATTATACAGTTGTTGTGTGGCAGAAGGTTAATTTGATTAAAAGGCAGAGAATAATTGATCAACAGTGCACTTCCACCATACCCATCAGCTTTGTTTAATAATTGGATTTAAAATTGAGTTGACTTATTCTTTGTGCAACGTTGGACGGTACTGGAATATCATCAAACCTATTTAGGAAGTTGAAAGCAAAGGTCAAAAAGGCATCTAACAAGTTATCATTGGGGATGGTTTCAGAGAGGATAGATAAACTATCATTGTTGAGGGCACAGCCATTAGGGAGCAAAGCTGGGCAGTTTTGGACAGTAGCTTGATGAGCTATTCTTTTAAATCCACTATTTGAAGGAACTCTAGGTTTAGGAAATTTGGGAACCGATTTTTGTGAGAGGTTTGGATTTGAGATAGAGATGTAATTTGAGTTGAATATTGGGTAACATCAGAATAAGATCTCCTTACAAAGGGAAATCTTTCTCGACGCCTCTTGGTACGATATGTTGTCTTGTGACATTGATTTTTTAATAGATCTTTGCCTAGGATGTTATGGCCAGTTCTTATTAGATGCAAAGTGGTATCCTGAGCAGTAAAGGCAAGTTGCCTTTGATTCTTCCACCATACAAGACTGACCTGAGTGTAGTTGTGTACAGCGGAAACAACGTGGCTTGAACCGACATTGGGAATTAATATATCCAAACCACTTCAAGCATTGTACAGTTGGGAGTTGGTATGTCTCTGCTGCCATAGATGTATGGTATACAAATATTCTATTGGGGAGAACCTGCCCTTTAAATGTGAGAACAACTGTTTGTATGGGGACCCAGGATACTTGCTCTTCAGGGATTGTCTTTCTGTTGAGTTGTGTTGCTTTCTGGACCACTCCACAGTTTACGGGAATAACTAAAGAATCTACAAACTCTTCCATCGATAAGTTGGAGGGAACACCTTTAACGATACCTATACGGGTAATGTTATATTTGTGGATTGTAGCACTATATTTATATAACGATAGAATAGAAACAGGATTTCGTGCCAAAAACTTAAAGAAAACAAGAATCTTTTACTGAACTTGGGCAAATATTTTGTGTAGGTTATTAACCACCCTTAACCACCCAAAATAGCTCGGTGGCGTAGTCGATAAGCGCCGCGGCCCGCGATCGTAGTCGTTAAGCCACTTTCGCAAGGGTTGGTCACGGCATGGGTGACCAAAAAATTATTATCTCGAGCTACTCCGTGCTTCGGAAGGCACGTTAAGCCGTTGGTCCCGGCTGCAATTGCAGTCATTAATACTCGGGCTAAAAATCGATAATCGAATCGATACGCGGGGCAATGCGGATTGGATCCGCATTGACTCAGGCCTTCCTTATGGATACGCCATAAGGAAGGCCTGAGTCCCTGTAGTGGGGACGTAAAAGGGCTGATGATGATGATGATGATGATTAACCACCCTATTTCGTTATAATAAACGTTTCCTGTTTTTTTTATATTAAATGATTATACTCTTTCCTGTATATAGTGAGTTTTTGGCGCGCAACTACTGACCCGATTTTTATGAAACACTAGCTGACCGAGGGTTACCAGATAGGGAGACTAAAATATTTGGGCAAAATTTTAAAAGGTCGGAATTTTGGGATCACAATTGAAACAAATAAATACTAATAAAAATAACATGTAGTAGAAAATACATACCGAAATCAAGTAAAATAATGAAAGATACAAAAAATTATATGAATGCATACTTTTCAATATTTTACAAAAAAATTTTGATGAAATCGAATAATAAATAAAAGTAACAAAGAGTATCAAAATATAGCTTAATAAAAGAGTAAAATAGTTTAGTATTGTTGATCGAAGGCATAGAGGAATAAATAATATACGAGTGGGTTGGGTAATCGACGGTACGTAAGTTATTTACAGTCCGTCTCACGAAAGACGTCCCTAGGATCACAATGTTATCGCTTTTATTATAAAAGAATAAGAGGTATTCCTCGGCATTCTTTCATGAGACTGTCTGTAAATAACAATTTTTGTCGGAACATATACGGGCATCCGCCATGTTCACGCGTTAAAGAATCCATCTGCTTACTGAATTATGTTTTTGAATAAATATTATAGTAATATTAGTGTTTCAAAACCTAGGTAAACTAAGTCAGATCCCTTTGCTCTTATTACAAACAACAACATCAAATAACTGAAAATATTGCCGTATAATAAAACACCCAAGAAGATGGTAATTAAATTATTTTATCCCGATCGCCGATCTTTTATGATTTTGAAATTAAAATAGATACGGCATGAAAAATTCCATATTGTAAAAAATAAAATAAAGTTGAGAATTAGGCGCACGTCATTAGTTTTTTGTTTTGCGTGTAGTATTTATGTCTTAAAATATAATATAAAATACGATTTTATTTGGTTGGGGTATTTCA